TATATATATATATATATATATATATATATATATATATATATATATATAAATAAATAAATATATATATAAATAAATAAATGTGACCAAAATGATCTGTCATTCTGCTCCCATCAGATAATATTTTCACATGGGGTTCAAGAATGTATAGGATAGGGGTAACACAAAATCTGAAAATGTTATTAATGGGGGTTTCTGAACAAAACTATACAGTGAATTAGCAGCCAATTCAAGTAGCAATTATTAATTATCAAGTAATTGGAAGGTTTGCATGCCCTGCAGGACTTTACTACATATAAAGAAAAGCCATTAAAGTATCAAAGCTTTATTTAACACAAGAGTGATGTAGAATTGTGGATCTACTCAATGCAAAATATATACATATATGTGGGAATCATAATTGAACAGTTTCAACTTATTTTTCAAAAATATTGTAAATTTTTATCTTAATTTTTAGCACCCATAAAAAATGACACTGAAAGGAAATTTTGTTACCAGCAGCTCCCAGTGACATTGAAACTCATATATACAATATTGCAGGTAAGTTTCACATTTATTTTTAATTTCAAAATATCTTTATGAATTTAATAATTTAGAACAGAAAACTCAATAAAGCACCATTTTTGAGACTTGTATGGAATCTTTTAGAACACAGTCTATGCGTCTATGCATCAAAAAGTGAAAAATATATAGTAAAGGACAGGGGTGGGTTCCAGTAGCCACTACTGTCGGTTTGCTCAGGAACATAACGTGCATGTATGCATGCGCAGTACAACAAAAATGCTCTGTGCACGTGCAGAAGCAAAAACCAAGATGGCGGTGCCTATGGTGCCGCCAGGAGAACCAGTTCGGGGGTGTGGCAGGCCTGAGTCGTTGCCGGTTCCAGTGACCCAGGCCGCCAAGGTACTACCAAGTCAGCCAAACTAGTCCGAACTGGTAGGAACGCACCACTGGTGAAGGAGAATCAAACGTATCTAAGTTCTTAGATAAGTTTAATTCTCCTTCACTATATCTACTAAATCAAGTTATGTTTTGATCGTTATAATTTTGTTTTAGTTTGTAATTTATTATTTTTGGTGGAATCCAAGATTAATTTTACCATATATTATTTACCAAATTTTGTACAGGAAATGGCACGCTTTGAAGAGCCAGATATTATCTTTAACATGCTTAACTGCTTGAAGATTCTTTGCCTTCATGGGGAATGCTTATACGTTGCAAAGAAGAACTATCCTCAGTTTCTAGCATATATTCAGGACCACATGCTGATTGCCAGGTATAAATGCTATCAAGAGAAGGCTTAATAAGTTCACAGGCTATCCCCAAACAAGTTTTGGTGGCCATAAATCAATGGTTTTAATTTTGGTGTAATCTGGACTGAAATTGTTAAATACATTAAATCAACATATAGGTGGATAAAGGCTGTACCCATCAGTAGTCCAAAGCAATGTTTCTCAACCTTGGTTGGCTGGAAAATTCCGAAGTCGAAGTTCACGCATCTTAAAGTTCCCAATGTTGAGAAACACTGGCCCAAAGCATGGTTGAACAACCATATATTCAGACACTTAAGCCTGCTCTGGGGTTTCTCTAATGGATAATTGGGTTTTGGAACCACCATTTCAATTTTCCGTAGTGCTCTAGGGAACTTGATTAAAAGACCATTGTAGGGAATTATAAGTTACCTAAGATGTCTGTCATTGGTTATAATAATACTGTGGATGCCATATAAGCTGAACAGAGCCACTAAAATACAAATAGATTATCAGAGAACATTTTCCCCAGAGATTCCTTCAAATCTGAAGTACAAAATTGTAGACAGGGCAGACTCATTAAAGTATTTGAACTAAGAGAATTGAAATCAATTCTACTTTGGAGCCTAAAGTTAAAACAGCTTTGAAAGAAATGTAATGATATACTTTTCCAGAATTCTTGTCTACAATGGCATTGATGCAGATATAAGATCCTATTTGCTGTCTTGTTAAATCTTTTCCACCAGAAGCAGAAAAGGGGGGAAAGCTTAAGACCAAAAGATGGAAGTTATTTCTGGTTCCTAATTAAAAAGTACCATTTAGGCAATAGAGTTGCACCATAGCTAGGGGGAAATGCTTTATCACATATTTATGGGGCCAAAATTATTGATTGCAGAAATCAGTTTTGCTTTATGTAGCAGCAAAAGTAACAAAACTAGCAATCTATTCATGGAATCATGATCATGTGTTCTGAGTTGCCTCTCCTCTCTCATGTGTCCCCAGCTTATGGAGAGTTGTAAAATCAGAGTTCTCCCAGCTTTCTTCACTAGCAGTGCCACTCCTTCTCCATGCTCTTTCATTGCCTCATGGAGCTGATATTTTCTGGACAATAATCAATGCCAACTTCAATAGCAAAGACTGGAAAGTTAGATTTGAAGCAGGTATGTCCTTTAATAGATGAAATCTATGGTTCCAAAATGTGCACATTTTAAGGAAATCTTCCTTGAAATGTTAATGAATTCCCCCGTAGATGACGTTGGTATAAGTAAAAGCACACCTATTTATGTTTTTTTATTTACTTTAAAAAGTTTGTATGGCTGTGCATCTTTAAAAAATTCTGGGTGGGTGACTCAGATGTTTTAGGAGTTCAAGGAGTTCAAGCAGTGGTGAAATTCAAAATTTTTCTCTGCTGGTTCTGGTGGGTGTGGCTTGGCGGTCATGTGACCGGGAGGAAACAAGCCGGTCACATGAGGAACCCCATAGAGTCGCAGAGAACTCAAAAGCCAACTATCACACTTTACACAAAATAACACAAAAGCTACACAACTGATTCACATACAACTCAAAAGCAGCTGGACTTCACTTACAAAAAAAGGTTCCGACGATCAGGCAGCCCAGCTGATTGTCACAGCTGATCATTGGAACCTTTTTAAAACTTTTTTTTTAGCATTTTGCCCAAACCAGTAATAAAAAAATGCTATTTTTTTTAAAAAAGTCCTGACGATCAGCTGTGCCATGTGATTGTCGGAACCTTTTACAAAACTTTTCAAAGCAATTTTTTTTACTACCGTTTCAGGCAAATCAGTAGCATTTTTACAAACAGTTTGGGCGTTTCACCCCTGAATTCAAGGCCTCCCTGGCAACCATGGCCCCAAGTCCAGTCTAACTCACACAAGTAGCCACATGCTTTTATCTTGGATTAGTTGGCTTGTGATCTGAAATTTTAGTTTTTTGGCCTGGCCAGGTAACTTTCTGGTCATTATGCAGTCTGTTACCTATGAATAGTGAGGACAGTTGAGAATGGGCTTCCCTAGGAACTTATGGGTCCTATGGCTTTTCACAATGATCCAACAGCAATTCTGTTTTACAACTGGTCAAGTTCTGAAATGCAGATACAAACATTTTAGATGGTCTTTTGTGGTTGCTCTTTCACAAAAGGTGCCGTGCCTCAGATAACATGCTTCTTTATTTGCTGTTTTCCTACAGTGGAGAAAGTAGCAGTGTTGTGTAGATTCCTGGATATTCACTCAGTGACCAAAAACCATCTACTGAAATATTCCTTGGCACATGCCTTTTGTTGTTTTCTGACTGCTGTGGAGGATGTGAATCCAGCTGTGGCCACCAGAGCAGGGCTTCTGCTAGACACCATAAAAAGGCCAGCCTTGCAGGTATGTTAAAACAGTGAAGAAACCAAACTCGGTCCCAGATAAGTTGCAGGCTTAAAATTCCTTGCTAGATTTAAAGTTAAATCCATTTGTGTAACCTCTCAAACTCTATGATGATATTGGTGGCTTCTTTGATAACTCAAAGTAATTGCTGTTATAAGTTTTATTCTTCTTTTTAGGGACTATGCCTTTGTCTTGATTTCCAGTTTGATACTGTTGTCAAAGACAGACCCATTATTCTCAGCAAGCTTTTGCTGCTACATTTTCTCAAGCAAGATATTCCAGCGTTGAGCTGGGAATTCTTTGTGAATCGGTTTGAGACACTCTCTCTTGAGGCACAGCTTCACTTGGACTGCAACAAGGAATTCCCCTTCCCAACAAGTAAGAAAGCTTGGTAACATGATTTATTTTTTTACAGTTAGGGTTCTAAACTAAAATGTCTCTTCTTTTTTGAAAAAAAAGTGCAGATCTATGGTGAATAACCCTTATATTTAAATTGTATATTCCCTTTGTGGAAATAATTCTGGTAATATTTGGCCAGTTACTCCAGTTATTGGTGTGGTACTGATGAGTGTGGCACCACACCTTATGCTGGCAATATAACACAAATAAAATACCTTTACTGCTTCAAAGAATTTATATGAAATAGAAAATAATGGACCTAGTTCAGAAGTAATGATCTTGTCCTGATAAAGTATAGCTTATTAAACCAGAATTTCCCTGTAAACTCTTTCATGATCCTTCTGTTTTTGAGGCCAAATTTAGTGGTACTGTTGTATTACTTAAATTGTGGTTTCCTATCACATCCAAGGCAAAAACTGGGTCTCATGGAATCTGTGGTTTGAATACCTAAGACAACTTTGTAAAAACTGGATATGAAAGTTTATGGAAGAAACATGTAGTTACATGCCTTATTCCTGGACCAATATTTATCAGTCATATATCATTTCTTTTTTTTTTAAGCTACTCTATCACCTTAAAAAGGGACACAGTGACTCAGTGCGCTAAGACATGGAGCTTGTCAATCAGAAGGTTGGCAGTTCAGTGGTTCAAAATCCCTAGCGCCGCATAATGGAGTGAGCTCCCATTACTTGTCCCAGCATCTGCCAACCTAGCAGTTCAAAAGCATGTAAAAATGCAAGTAGAAAAATAGGGACCACCTTTGGTGGGAAGGTAACAGAATTCCGTGCGCCTTTGGCATTTAGTCATGCAGGCCACATGGCCATGGAGACATCTTTGGACAGCGCTGGAGATGAGCATTGCCCCCTAGAGTCGGGAACGACTAGCACATCTGTGCGAGGGGAACCTTTACCTTTACCTATCAGCTTAAAAAGCATGTGCTAATATTGGATGGGCTATATTCTGTGCTCCCCATACATTATCTCTCTGTAGAAGAGAAATTGAAAGCATAGGCCACATTGTTTGAAAGTCCTGGGTTACAAACAAATGCACATTTTTGAAGCCAAGCATGAAAACTGTGCTAGGAAGATGTGGGTTTACAAGTTAGTCTATGAAATGAAATTTGGTTTAATCCTGTTTGAAAAGCAATCACAGCGGTCCGGACCAATGTTGCCAACTTAAGTGACACAGCAATGTGGAAGATCAAGAGAGCTCGGTTTGCTCGGAATCGGCAGAAGAGCGTGCGTTCTTTGAGAGACAGTGTGAAAGGTCCAGCAGAATCCAAGAGGGCACTTTCTCTTCCAGAAACCTTAACAACCAAAATCCGTTGAGTATTTTATTTTATGTTTTTTCTCCATTTTAATTCTGTTGCACAATTGCCACTAGGTGGAGATGAAATCTAGGATTTGGCCAGATTTGATTAAACTGACAAAACATTTGGTTTAACTGATTGTTTTGTTCACAGTTTACAGGATGCTACTGAAAGATCATAGTGATCTATAGAATAATAAAATACTTTATCTATTTCTGTTTGCCACTATTATTTTATAAACAAGTCCTTTTCTTTAAAGCCATTTTGTTGGTTGTTTTAATACATTTGCAAGCTGCTAAATTCTTCCAGACTCCTCGTGGCTTATCATAATATATATGCTATTTGTGAGTGGTGCCTCTCTACAAAAAGAAGAAATCAGTGCATGTGATATCTCTCCGTGTGTATGGTTACATACACACATGACATGATTATTAGGAAATATCATAACCATGGTTTTCTACTAATTAATTAGTAACAACCCAGCTTCGCAAGTATATGTGACTCATACCTGCAGAGCAAAAAAAAAGTTCTCTGCTCTGTTCAGATCTATGCTTATAAATATTTTTTGCTTTCTGTTATATATAATATACCACCGATTACTACATTGCAGTTCTAAACACTGGGAAAATACTGCTTCTTTGATGTGCATCTTCTCAGATGCAATGTTATTGTCCACTGTTAAAAACAAAAAGCTGACTAGATATTTTAACATCTACGTGAACTACTGAGTGACATTACCTGCTTATTTGAGGTCATACAGTATACATAGAGCTTACTCTTGAAGATTACCCATGGTGCAACAGGGCAGGCAGTGATGATCATGTCTCAGTGTGCCTTTGTAACATCTCTGCTTTGTCAGCTGCCCTGGTTGCCAGTTTGCTTCTGGGTGCAATTTGAGGTTCTGGTTGTTACCTGTAAAGCCCTACAGAGCATAGCACATGATTATGGAATGCCTGTCTCCCATAGTATCTGCCCAGCAGATTGAATCTGGCAGGGTTGTGTGCTTTGGTTTCCTTTGATTAAACAATGGTATCTATCCGGACCCCAGAAGCATGCTTTCTCTACAGCAGTATATGCCCTCTGGAAAGAGGTTCCCCAAAAATTCAACTAGTAATGTGTTCAAAATAAATTACCCATTGATAATTTAAAGGGACCTGAAGATCTAGCTCTTTACCTGTTTTAATGTCTGGCTTGTTTCCTTGTTTTTAAATATTGTTTTACTGTATTATGATAAAATGCAAGTAATACATTATATTGTTTGGCAACAGTGATATTTGTGCAGTATTAATTAGAGACTATTCTGATGTTTTAGGTAAATTAAACCTTTAAATGTTTTTAACAATTTGAACATATCCAGGGTCATTTGCAGTCAGGTGGCATATAAATTTGATAACTTTCTATTATTATTATTATTATTATTATTATTATTATTATTATTATTATTATTATTATTATTATTATTATTAAATATATGTGCCCAGTGGGAATACTGGTCCCTCAAGTTCAGTATTGCCCACATTGATTGACAGTGGGTTTCTAATATAGCATAGTGGTACTGATTTGCAAAGTTCGGAATTTTTCCAGCTTTGCAAGAATATATCTCAATTTTCTGCACAAGGCATATATGATACTCCATTGAATACAGCAATGGCTCCTGAAGATGCCACAGCTCTGTGCAAGCTAACCATAGCTTTCCATTGTTTTAAGCAGCAAGACTGATCAGACACGAACAATCTGCTCCAGCGCTTGGTGGAACACCAGAAAAAACACAAGGTAAATGTGGCCTTTATATGTTCTGTAATTACATAAAGAAGAAAAGAATAATTCTTAATTTTGGATATTCTGTTACTAGTCAAAAGTACAAGTCAGAAGGATCTTGGCACGGAGCCTCAGAGAGCCACGAACCAATTAAGTGAACTAATTGTTTCCTGCAAACTCCACTCCCATTTCGCTCCTCTTTTATGTCCTCTGGGAGTAGCCATTCATCGTCCACCTGTGGTGTTACTCCCAAGTCGACCTCTGTTCTTTAGCTGTTCCCTTTGTCTGACAACTCTGCGGATGCGCACACTGGGAACAGGCTCCAGCTGTTCGTCTGCCTCACTGAAGTCCGACTCTGAAGGCAGCTGATAACTGGCATACGGCTCTGGCCCCCTCTCTGCCTCCGACACAGAGCCCTCATCAGAGCCTTTCCCAGACTCCAGGACTGGCCCATGTTTCTTCCCAAGCTCTTCACTGTCTGAATCTGCTGTCAGCTCCACTGGCATCTGGTGGGAAACATCTCTCTCTCTCTCTCTCTCTCTCTCTCTCTCTCTCTGTCTCTCTCTGTCTCTCTGTCTCTCTGTCTCTCTCTCTCTCTCTCTCCCTCCCTCCCTCCCTCCCCCCCTCTCTCTCATACACACACACTGTTTTGCTGCCATTTTTAAACCTCCTTTAAAAGAGACATTTAGCCTTTCTTCCCAGTGATAATCGCTATATTACAGGTTTTTTTAAAATTTTATGTGCTAACAGGGCAGCCTTCTCCAGAGAATGATAATACCATAAAGGACCTTCTCCCAGAGGATGCTGGGATTGATCATCAAACTGTCCATCAACTCATTACCGTGCTAATGAAATTTATGGCCAAGGATGAGAGCAGTGCAGAATCAGATATCAGCAGTGCTAAAGCCTTCAATACAGTCAAGCGCCATTTATATGTTTTGCTGGGCTACGATCAACAGGAAGGATGCTTCATGATTGCACCTCAGAAGATGCGAATATCAACCTGCTTTAATGCCTTTATTGCAGGAATTGCGCAAGTGAGTTGGATTTATGTATTTGGCACAACCTGTCAAATTATCCCTCATGGTCTGGCTGAAACCTCTATTGCAATTCCCGAAAATGAAATTTATAGCCATAATCAGAAGAATTCAATGGCACACAGGGTATTTATTGTATGAAAAGAAAAAAAAAGGCACTGTTATGTGCACTGTTTCTAAAAAGTCCTAATCTCTCATTTATGTACATAGTGCTTATACACAGTCATACATAAACACATTTCCGTGCAAATGTTTAGGTACATGTAGGTCAGCTTATATTTCAATTGATGTCTAAAGGAACAGAAATCGATGCGATTTCTATAAATGAAAAGATTCCTTTCTTCAAATTTGAAGGGACCTTTCTATGTAGGAGCAGTTGTTTAAAGATTCAAATTAAAAAAAAAAAACTAAGATGAAAAAGACTGGAGTCTCTTGGGACTAGAAAATGAGCCGCTTCAGTCATGGTTACTCTTTTCTGGAACAGAATTCCTCCAGATATGACAGTGGCTTCTACTATATGGGTTGGTCTTTCTTTCTTTTTGTTTAGAATGGCATTTAAATATGTCTGTCTGTCTGTCTAGCTATCTATTAGCTAAATATGTGATAAAGGAGATCCTCCTGCTATGGATTTAGTAACTATAAAATGTTACTTAGGTATAGTGTTTGTCTTGCTGCTGTTGTATTTCAATGTTTGTGTTATTTTATAAGGCACTTAGATTCTTGTTTTGATTAAGTTGGAAGATATGAGTGGGAAAGAAAGAAACTACACTAAAGATTTAACTACACTAACGATTTAATTCCAGAGTAGCAGTCAAGCACTGAAAGGGGCAAAAGCAAGTGAAACTCATATCAGCCTTTGGATTTAGCCGGTATTTAGATGTTACCTTTGATGCCCTAAGAATCCAGGTTGCTCATAGCACATGAGAAAAGATCGGAAAGTGAAATATCAAAGCTTGCTAGGAGAAGAAATGGGCATCTCCTGGGCAACAGTGATGTCACTGGCTAATCCTTTCAACCTGGAAGCACCTTGGCAGGTGCTTCCAACATGAACATAGTAGTAGTAATAGGAAAATAAATATTTATGCTCCCTTGACCATGGTGTAATAGGCTAGATGCATTTTCATTTGTAATAGATTAACACTTCAACCATTTTTAATTTTGTTCATTTTTGGAAGACTTATTTCTAATACTTTAAACATTCTTTTAATGCAAGCTATTGTAGGGACCATTCTGTTAAACTGTGAGTATGGCCAAATTGCAATAATAGTTGGTTTTTTGCCTCACAATCCTTGCAAAGGATGCCTACATACAAAACAGAGTGTGGATAAGACCAAGATAGAAAGATATGCCTAAGATACAGTCCCTTAGTGCTCAGTTTAATTCTGAAAGGTTTCATTCAGAGAGCATGAATGAAACATTTCTCACAGCTACTCTTTTTTCATTGTTGCTATTGTAACAGCATTCTGGAAAGGAATGTTCTAGTAGCAAGAACTGATGCACTATATAATAATCAAATTATTGTTTTGGATACCAGTCTAGCAGATGGTGTTGTCTATCTTTCCTTGAAAGTGACTATCACTGTGACTGGAAAGCATTTGGCAAAGTGATATCAAGCTATAGCAGGAATAAATTAATTATCAGGCTGAAGATGAAGTACTTATGACCCACTAGAGGTTGCTGCACAACAGTCTGTAGCAATTGTGGTCACATCAGATAATGGTGTGGGTTCTAGGAGTATTAATTCAGCAATATATGAAGTGCCATATGTTCCTCTTCTCAGCTCAGGCTAAGGCAAACTACCAAGGGACTGATCATTTGGCTGAGAGATTCCCAATATCAAGATTCAGCTTGAAATGAGTACTGTACATATGTGGATACTGAAAGGGTTCTTGATTTATATGGGAGTGCTGACTACACAAGGAATTGCATGTTTATGTGTTTACTGGTTCCACCACAAAACCGCGCTCGACTAAACTGCGCCCAACTAAACCGCGTCGCTGACATCATCATCAGGACACACCTAATAGGTGATTGTATTTTGATGGTTGAATCTAACCGTAACCCTAACCC